TTTGTTGTGCTATTTTCATTATAAGTAAAACATGATACTGCAAAATGTATTAAATAATTTAATGAAAGGCTTATACTTACACCAACATAATAGGCTTGTTATACAGTATTTATGTCCAATTGTGTAAATGTCTACTAATTTTATATTTCGTTTGCTAAAACGTTTTGCGTTGTTTGTATTTATCATTCTTATATTTAAATATTTTGGCATGAAAATTACATAATCATTTAATTTCTTTTGTTTTCTATTTCTATTGAATATTAATATTCTTTATCATACATTATCACATATTTAATACAGAATTATGTTAATAAAGTATATTTTCTTTAGTGTTTCAATTGGTCCTCTTACACGTAGTTTGTGTAAATATTAGGATTTTTAATGACAAAAGTTCACAGAATTAAATTTAGAAATGTAAATTTTGCATACTACAATTATGAACCAATATTATAAAATTCAGACATTTTCAGTATATTAAAATCTGTTAAATATGTATACAAATATTATTTTGTATTATATGATTGGTAAATCAATTGAATATTGCCTGCACATAAAGATGCTAACTATATCAGATTTACATATTAACATCACAATTAAAAAAATATAAACATGTACTAATCTTGATATTACATGTAGGAATCATTATTACGAAATTGTTTTTTTATATTAGCCATTCAAGTAACAGATTTGTTATGTTATGTAAACTATAAAAAGCACAGATATTAATTGCACGACCCACCATACATTGCACACGCGCTCGCGCGCACACATGCATAAAAAGATTCAAATGACATACGTGTATACTTCAATTTATTAGACATAAATAATAGTATCTAAAATACACATTGTATCTTAAATTTTTAATGAATTTGGAAATTGATAAAATAAAATATAAATTTGTAACTGTCTTTTTTTAACATAATCAACAAATTAATATTTTTATCTTTTATTTAACAAAGTAAACAATTGCCTACATATTAAATAAGTGGAAACTTTTATATTTTGGTACTTAAAAAGAAATATATAAGTCCTCTCTATTTTCGACTTTCACGTAGTAGTAGAATTCATATCAATTTAATTTTTTCTATATGACATGCACTGTATTTTTGTTGGGTCTGGTGCAATTATATATTAACTAGTAGAACAGTTACAGCGCTTTCTTGTATTCTAGAATGCAAATATTACAATCGTGGTTTCATAACTTTAAAACTAGTTTTCTTATTAGCTAAAGCTTCCGTGCGTGCATATACATTTTCTGAACTACGTCTAATAATGTCTATATATTCACTTGATGCTTGAAAGTCACATTTGTTTGTTTCGTCATAGGAATAACAATCTGATTTCTGCGCTGCTTGTATCAATCCCGTTTCCAACTAGAATCATAAAAATAATTATGATAATAACAAATAATACTTTAATAGAAATTTTTATGTAAATACCATTGATTCTCTGTTCGCATCATTGCGACACCAATTTCTCGAATGCAAGGAATCCGCTCCATCTTTTCTACATAAAAGTAGCGATTATTTAATAATTGATATATATATGTGCATATATGATCATTTATTTACTTATTTGTTTCTTTATTATACGTTTATTTTAATGTATACTTACTTCAAGTCAGAATTATATCGCTTTTGTGACGTAATATCTTTTGATGAAAGATACTCTTCTGGATAACTACAGATAGAACTTGTTCTTTGTTTCTTTTCTGCTTCTTCGTAAGTACAAGACATTATATCATTTAAAGACAAACATGATTTAGCAAAATGTTCCTTATATGTTGACGTTTCTGTAGCAGCAGCTGTAAGTTCATGAACATTATAATTTTTTTCACTAGCTGCCATTATCTGTCTAGGACTACTGTAATCTTGTAGAACTTCATTTTCGATATGATAATCTTTATTATGCTTCTCATTTTTTAAAGCATTGTCTATAACATGATTGACATTTATTATGACTTCATTAGTAACTGAAATACATTCTCCAGTTTCATCTCTTTTTGTTACGTTATTATCAATTGAACTATCGTCCCCATTTTGACTACTATTCAATGCCATTTCACAACTACTTATAGAATTTGAACTTCTATCCCTTACGCTTACCGAACCTTCGATGCTATCCGTAACATTAGTTCGTTTAGAAACTGATGTCGGTATCATAATTTCAATATTACTCTCTATAGTAACTTCATTATTTATTTGAAAACTGTTTTCAACATTTGTACTGCTTATGTTACTTAAAATAGCGTTATTTAAAGTTTCATTACTACTATTACTTGACCTATCTTTTGCTAGTACCAATGCCTTATTGTCTATGGCACTTTCTTCTGATTTACAAATACGTTTTGATTGACTGCCTAAAACAAGGGACTGTACAGGCTTATCTAACCCTTGATCTAGAGAGGAACCAAGAGAAGATTTTATACTCTTGAATTGACTCATAGATCGCGAAGATCGATGACATTTTTCGAAAATTATTTTTTGTATTGGTGGTGTTACACTTTGTTTATTATTTCCAATTTCAATATCCAAAGATGAAGTAGAATATGTTCGTTTTGAATTATCCAAACTACAACAAAGAAGCAATTTTATAATTAAAAAACATTTTGCAAAACCTCATTTAATTAAAACAATAATGTAACATACTGTGATTGATTTGGTTTAATATTTATGAAAGTAGCAAGATTTGAAAGTGTTGCTCTTAAGTCCATTGTTGGAAGGCCACAATACCACCTTAATTGAGCTACATTTTTATTTAGTAAATAAACAGCATAACGAAATTGTAACTTATCTTTACTTCGAGCAAATAGTGGAAATCTGAAAAAAATATAATTAAGTCAGTAAAAATTTAAAAAATGAATAAAAGTGAAATACTTACTGTCTTTCATTATCAGGTAGATTTTCTGTAATATGGTCTATAACTTTACTACGTGATCCATAATGTATAATAGGATATCTAGTGGGTATATTAAGAAAATTGGCTATCATTTGTGTAGTATGTGCAACAAATCCCAATGCTACAGCAACTTCAGTATCATTTGATAATTCTAAGTCCTCACTATCAGGTAAATGAACATCATGTATTCTAAATTTTCCATTTCCATCCTGTTCCATAAGAATGTGTTGAAAATTAAATTATGACTATAATCTCCTGAGAAATAGGATATATTAAGCTTAATTCTGAAATTAATTGCCTTCTTCTATGAGCAAGTTGACTACTCAATTGTACATATGTTTCTCTTGTATCCAGTTGATTTTGTCGCCAATCATGTAATCTTTCAATATCTTTATTAAGTTCTCTATATTTTTCCATTAAATTTGAACCTATAATTTAAATGAATGCTTTAAATTATTTTGCTTAAATTACAATATATATATATTGTGTGTGTGTGTGTATATATATACACACACACACTATAATTTTATAACATATACCATAATCTTGATTTTCTTCCATAATATTAGAATGCATCTGATTTAACATTCTTAGTTCTCCAATTTTTCTTACTCTTTCTTGTTCCAACAATTTTATTCTAAATTTTGCCATCTCTAATTCTTTGCGCATTTTTAATATCTCAGCTTTTTTCTCTTTATTTACTTTACGTGGTTGAAATAATCTATTCAATGAAGACTGTGGATATTTTGGAGTTTGAAAATTATCTCCAGAAGCAATACGCATTTGAAGTGTTTGCACTGATTCTGTTTGCTGTTTTAGTGCTTGCATTTTATTTCTTAAGCTGCTCAGTTTACTCACAGTGTAACTATCTTTTATTTCAGATGTATTGACTTTTATATGTAGATACCTTTTTAATTCAGGGGCTTCAACAAAACAATATACTGGTGTAAAGTAACCACCATGAAATTGAAAAATTAAAGAATTTTCCATCAAAATAGTTTGTAAATTATTTGGCAACTTTGGTCCAATGTATGCCAGGCCAGTGAATGATATGCCCCAAGTAAATACAATCACATCTGTCATTATATTATCGATATTTGTCCTTTTCCACAGTCTTACAATGACTTCTGTCAAAAAAATGTACAATATTCCTTTTATATGTTTAGTATATTATAAATTTAAACAGAATAACAAATTAAGACAACATATAATAGACTTAAATAGAAAGTCTTAATCTTAGATGTACCTATGAACACATGATTACATTTAAGGTACTAACAGACTACAAAGCTCACCACTGGCAGTAGAGTAGCCTGTGGTATGTATAATTGGTATTTCGAGACTTGACCATCTTGGATTTGCATTTTCAATTATTTCACTTGTATATAAAGGAGAAGACACACTTGTTCTATGTAATGTGTAGTAAAACCAACAAACTTCGTTATTTACATTTGTTTTTAGATTACATCCTATTATCTGTATAAGATTTCTAAGCCTTAACTGAAAATTATATATGTCATGAAATAAATTAGTATATGCATAAAACTTAGTAATATACATAAATAATACTGTTATTTCTCCAAATAACTTGGATTATGAATAGAATAAAATATAACATCATTGATCTTGATAACTTTTATGATAACAATTTTGTACATTTAAATATATCACCACTAATTGTCATTATAAATTTATAATATATGAAATTTAAAAAAACTAAGAACATAATAATTTTATGTGAATAATTACCTGTTGTGTAACAAGAGGAAGCCAAGTTTTATATCGTGGAGCAATATGAGGTTGTAGGGTTAAATCCAAATCTCTAACAAGGTTTCTTATCTCTGAAACCTCCATTGTATACCTTCATAATACCGCACAAGTAATATCATTAAAAATATAGAATAATCTACATGGAGAATATTATAACTTGACAAAATTTAAATGATATTCCGGATTTATAATACTCTTGTAGGTACATATATATACACACCACCCATATATATATACTCTTTCAAAATTGAAGTAAACAATGATAAATAATGTGGAATATGATATTCCTTTTACGTAAATTTTAAATCTTATTACTTCTATCCTTTGATGACAATTCTTTATTTTAATTAAGTATAAGTTCGTTTTAAAACAGTGTCATTTTCTAAGTTTTGACAGTTCTTCGCATTGACACTTTCATGCTTATGATGTTCGTACAGTGCTTTGACCAGATCTTTCAGTACGGCCAAACACCTAAATTTGAAGTTACTTTATAACTTTTATAGTTCCTAACAAAGAAATCCACTAACATAATGAAAGTAATATGTTACATTTAAGTATATTAAATTATTTTGACTGTTTATATTACCGTAAGTATAGAAATTGTATCATTTAAAATTATAAAAAAAGACATACTTTATGTGTACAGTTTTAAAACATTATGTATCTCTAAAACAATTTTAAAATATATTTAATGTATAAAAAATTATTAGTATGATAATCTATAATGAAAACGATTATTTTGAAGTTACTGATGTATGTTAATTAGTTCAACGCGAATTCAAAATCAGACTTGAAACATCATTGCGAATTCATCTATCTATATTGCAATTGTGTATGTACACTAAAGGCATCGCATCGACTTTGCCGAATCCCTAGAACTAACCCAACACACCGCGGCGATGGTTTTATGTGAAATGGCGTACGATGCGCAAGTGAAATGCGCGAATGTCCTTTTGATATTAGTATTTTGATAATAAATAATTTCAATTCTGTTGCACTTCAATCACCGTGGCAATGTCTTTTTTTTTAACAGAAGTGTGCATTCTATGTTACATTATTTGTAGTTATATTTCCTCATTTTCATGATTTGTATGTCGTAATAACAACATTGCATGCAACACAGCATTTGTTTAAACAATACAATTATTATATTAAATTAAACTAACAATTGCATGCAGTAGAATTAGTTAGAAATTGTTTATAACTTTTATTGAAAATTGAAGAATTGATATTCTTTTTGAGTGAATTACAGATGGAACTTTCAGGCCACCACAGGAATCAAGGAAAGGACTTGGACATCAGAAGAAATGAAGAAATGCAATTATTTATCAAAAAATCAATTATTTATTGTAAAATAACTGTACAAAGTGTATTTTGCAAAAGGTTACAATATACCAGTATTGTTTTACAGCATTTTACAGTCTATTTATTTCTCCCTCACACCACATCCACTTCCTTTTGCAAAACACTAATTCTTCAAACAATATTCAATTATGAAATTAAATAAACTAAGTGCGGATAACGTTAGGAACACGTAAAAATCTAAAAGATCATAAAAATCCCGAAATTCGAGCGAAAAACGTAGAAATTTGCGTGAAAATGACAGAAAATAAATTGACTTACACTACTTACTGATTTTGAAAACTTGAATTCTGAGAAATGGTTGACTTGCACTACTTATTAAATTCGAGATACATATTTCAGAAAATGTTCGTAAGTGGAACAAGTAGTGCAAGTCGACCATTTCTCAAACGTTCGAAATTTTTTCGGAATCAGCAAGTAATATAAGTCAATCACTTTTCAGACATGCCACAAAACTTCGAAAATTGCAAGAACATAGCGTTGAGAATGAAATAAAGCAATATGTTTATATTGCTTATCTTATCTATTGATATCTTATAAATTATAAGATATCCTGTTCCATACTTTATTTGTAATTTCATAATTTCGTATTTACATTTGGTTCTAATTCCAACTACTATTAATGTTATAATCTTATTCTATGCTGAATCGGTAACGTTGGAAGTGACACGAAAATGATAAGGGGGCTCTAGAGCCCCCCGGTCGTGGACAAGAAAAGTGCATTAGGCGATAAGTCCATTTTATATCACATTTGCGATAATATAGACTAGAATGTTAGTATATCAGTTACTAATTTACCGACGCCAAATAAACGCTGCAGCCGTTTTGATGTGAACTGTTAGAAGGCTAATGCTAGAATGATTTTCGCGCATTTCATTTGCACATTGTACGCCATTTCACATAGGATCACCGCTGCTGCATTTGTGTTAGTTCTAGAGATTCGGCAAAGATCGATGCTCCTGAGTGTATAATATTTATAATCTGCAGTGACATAACTATATTGAAATGAAACAAAAGAGATTTTTCTTACATCAACTGACTTTGCCGACTTTGGTGGTTGGATGAAATACAATTTCTAAATTCACCGCTCTAAATTGTAAATGGCATAACAAAAACTGATTTTTTTCACTACCGGTATATCAGAACACGTAACGTCTAATCTCATAAGATCCTAGGTCTATTCTGTACTTCGTCCGTGCTTATGTACATAGAACCACTTCAAAAGGCATTTTGAATGATATTTATTTTTTTATAAAATGTTAATCCTTGAAAGTTACTGAAGTAAATATGTCACTAAGTCCGAAATATTAATGACATCAACAAATATTTGAGAATGCCTAATAAAATAAAATGCAGTGCACTTTTACAACTAAAAATTTCACTTTTTTGTGCTCAAGATAATTTCCAACTTCCGATAAATATAATATGCGTTAATAAGTTTCAATTACGCGCCTAATAATATTGTTTTCACCAGACGATTCGTGCGTTACTACATCTCTACAATTTCTTACTGCTATAGTTCGGCTAGTACAAAATGGTCGACGTGCCTTGACTGTATGATACAGATTGGTAGATACAACATTTTGTTTTCCTATGAAGGAGCTAAATATAATAAACCGCGTGTAATATTAATGAAATTATAAAGATTATTACATTTTGGGTACGTGTCTTTTTCGATATTAAGAAAAATACCTTTTAATAAGCAAAACAATTAAGTCGAGTGTTCACCTGTCAATACGGCTTCCTTTGGCAACAAAGTGTGTATGTCGCCCTTATTAGAGTGTGAAATACTGCATGCATTACCGTTGTTGTCTTCTTCAATAGTGAATTTAAAGTATTGTTCCTGTGTTATACTTCTTGTTTATAAACTGTTTTACTAATTTTCCTACGTTAGACTTATACAGTTCATGTGTTTTCGTGAAATGATATTATAATGATAAATTTACTTTAATACTATTTATAATATTATTATAATAAGATGGAGAAACGGCAGGAAATACAGGCTCCGTTTTCTTCTGGTAAGTTACTACTAACACAAAGACATATAAGTGATTTCTCTTTATCTGTCAATATTATATATATATTCATTGATCCTTACTGTATACAATAAAATGTTGAAAAAGGAACATAATATTTTTCAGAATTAATATCCTGTCTATATTATTTATTAAAACCCCTTGTTTTATGTAAATAAGACATATGGATATAGTTTTGTACTATATAATCTTTTTACCAAATGCATATTTTTGCACATCTAAAAATATATTATGTTGAAAAATGAGCATGTTCAATAATAAAAATGTAGTTTGAATTAAAATTCATTTAAATAATATTAGTAAAAT